AAAGCCGGGATGGTGTTTACGTCTCAGCGTGCGGCGCAATATGGGGGGTGTAAATTAGTCATGGACACGTGTAATCTCCCTCTTGCTCCACTCCGCGTTCAGACTTGGAGGGGGGGTGGGGGAATTTCGGATGTCATGGGGGTCAGTCAGTCAGGACAAAGGTACAGACGCAAGAGAAGAGAATGCAGATTATCGGGTTTCGGTACACGGGTTGAAAGGGTTTTTCCATCCGTCTAAACTTTTTTTGTGAGGGAAGCGGTGGTGCGGCGGGACCGGGGACGGAGACGGGGAGAACCGTTTAGTTTTTGTGTGGATGCATGTATGTGTGTGTATGTGTGTGCCTGTCAGGGGGGTGTAGGATGTGTGAGGCTGCGGCGAGGGGGGGTGTTGAGCGGCGGGTTTTTGGGTTTGGCTTACCGTTTCTTTTTTTTTCCTTCTCTACACGGGAGGGACATATGCAAGTGTTCGGGTTACCTTGTTTAGAACGTTCGTTTCTGTTGTTTACATATTTATCTTCTTTTTATTTTATTGGGATTGGATGGGATAGGTAGGATGGAGTTCACTTGGCGCCTTGTGGGGGTTAGGTAGGGGAGGAGGTATGGTTTGGGTACAAAGGGTTTTAGACAACACAACAATACTCTTTTTTTTTTCAATTGTTTTTTCTCTCATTAGAGCCGCTTGTCTTTCTGTTCGGGGTGTGTGTACTTTTGCTGATGGATGGTGGGACAAGTTGAGGGCTCATTTTTATTACGTTGCAGTGGCTTTTTCGGTCGGAGAGGGCAGGGCTGAGTGTTGGGAGTGGTACCGAGGGGGTTGTGATAGTGAATTGAACGATGAATGATGATTACCACGCTTATCCCACTGTATCTTGTGAAGTCAATATCATCACCGAAGTGTTTCAAGATGAATGTGTGGAAGTATCTACTCAGGTACGTACGAACTGGGGGGGTGGTAAGGCATTTGATTTGCTCCCCCATCTCATCCCGTCCCGTCTTGTGGAATCCTTCTAGAAGAAAAAACTTCCCCGGTTCCTTACCTACGGTTCATTCCCAGCCACGTTGTACGCTCGGTCGGTTAATCATCCACGTTTCTCTTTTCCACCCGCTCCGGTTCAGTCCACTAGGCTTCATCCCACCCAAATTGCTTTGTTGCTTAGCGGCTGGGGGGAATGGAATGCCCACGCTAGAAGACCGGCGACCCCTTCTAGAAGGAGGTTAAAAAGCCACTTGAATAAGGCCGAAGCCGCTCAGCGGCGGATGTTTCCAGACGAAGGAGGATTGCAGTGTATAAGGCTCAGGTGAAGCCAAGGTATTGGTCGTCAGGTTGGGGTGATCGTCAGAATGTCTCACTCCGCCTCTTGTTTTCTGTTGTGAACGCAGGCGTTGACTGTTGTGCACCGTCGTCTGCCTTGCTTGTACGCTTTGGTGGGCTGGTAAAGGAACAGAAGGACTCGGTTAAATTTAGATTACACGCATCACAGGGGCATGACAGGATTCCGGGTAGGCACTGGACTATTGTTTCTTTTGGTAACCTAGGTAGGTATGTACCGTGAAGACGAAAGAGACGGGTTGAGATGAAAATGCAGAAAACACCCCGATGGACATTACATAATTTTGATGATGCTGAAGGGCTTTTTTTGTCTGGGATGTTTTCAGGTTTATTTTTTTTTCCCTAGGCCAGATCCTTCGTCACATCCCTTCGAATGGCATGCGTACGGCAACGGCGCGATTGTAGATCCCCGAGCGCCCTTTCCATCACGCTGAAGAAAGGTACGCAGATGCTTCGGTGGTATCCCGCGTCCTTGAAGGAAGTGATCGTCCTTTTTTCTATGTGCCTACATATCTAATCACTGGCGATGTAGGCTTTACATCCGCCCGTCATGTTCCACGTCTCCCACGCAGTCACATTGTTCTATCCTGATCTAGATCCCCCTCCCCCACGGGCATGTCATGGCATACCACACACTGTTGACTGACGCATCAACTCTGGGAAAAGATCGACGCTGTCAGATAAGGCACGTAGATGTTTGTTGTTCGCCCCCGATGCAGATTGAGTTGTAATGGTTGACGGGAGGAGCTAGTGTCAATATCTCCTCAGGGCTTCTTCGGGAGAGAACCAAGATAGGTTGCCAAATCTGACAAGGGTGGAGGGGCTGGTGGTGCGTGTAGATTAGGCGCGTTGAATCACGTTCCTTCTAACGACCTGCAGGACCTGCATGTGTTGTTTATCTATTCTATCTAGGGAGTTGGTTTTACCAAATTAGGGGACTCCGACTGGATCTGATAAATGTTGGTGGGCTGGCTTTTGATAGGAACGGCTGCTGGAGGTTGGAAGATGAGTGAGATCCTACATCCTACATTCGGTAGACCTACGGCAGAGGAGGGAGATATCTTACGAGAGAAAGAGCTGGTAGTCCTTCTGTTCGGGTATTGAGAGGGTGGGTACAAGGGCGAAAAAGGAACATGTGGTGGTAGCTGGTGTTGGTAGGAGCGGTCCCACTATCGATGATACAACGCAAGGGTTGGTGATCAATGGTCAGATTGACGAGATAGTTTGGGAGCTTTGCTCTGTAGATCAAGGGTCCATTGGTGGAGGCCTTCGCGAGCCTGCGAGCCGATGCTACAACGGCCTCGTGGCTCGGGGATCTGTGTATACTGTAATGTAATCACCACAAATCTCATCGCTAGAGCGGTAGAGGGATGAAGCGAGTGAACGAGCTGTCCAATCAGTTTGGTGACGATTTCAACCCAGCCACCCGGCCGGCCGGCAAGCAACCTAGAAGGGCAGGGTTTTGAGAGCTCCCGTGTATCTTGCTCATATCCAGGGTCTTCAATGAAGTAATAGTTGAGCTTCCGTGTCCGTGGAAGGCTTCAGAGGCTGGCTGGTGCTTACTGTCTTGCCATGAGTGCGAGAAGCAGAGACTCAGACAGTGTTACTGCTGCGTTCCAGGCAGACGTCCCAAGCATCTAACCTACCACGCAAGGCCAGAGTACTTTTGTCCACCCGTGTCCGTTGTTGTATAGGTATCATGTATATTTGCTCTCGAGTCAAGCGGCGGGACGTGCGTATGCGCCATGATCTACACTGTACGTCTGCGGCCGCTGCTTGTAGAAAGTGCTGTGCCTGGTAAAACCGAACTGGGATGTGCGTTGTGTATCCTGTGCAGCTCCATCTACACGGATTTGGAACTTTTAGGCTAACCTGCGACTTCAAAGCGTGTCTTGCTTTCTAGGTAGTATCTATCGTTCAGGTAAGGGAGGGCATGTGTCACTTTGCTACCCGCTGTCAGCAATGCAGAAGCCAAGAAGTTGGTATGCACTCGCAATTAATTTGATGGGGGTGTCATCTACGACCTGGTAGGATAGGCGGTGTCCTTTTTGTCTCAGCTTAGTAGGTATGTTCGGTTCGTCTCTGTCGGGTGTTGTTCTCCCGTTGTCAGGGTTCAAGACAAAATGTCTTCATACAGACCACCCAAGTCAACCTAGGGGTGTGCCTTTACCACCTGAGGGAGTGTATCGTAGGCACGTGTGGTGATACAATCACCACATCACAGTATCAGTATTGGCCTTACTGTTCCTTCTTTGTACAGAATGTAGGGACAGCGTTGTAGCATGTGGTACGTACACCGCCTCGTCTTTGATCGATCAATCCTTCTCCAGCGGTTGGCTTTGCGGCGCAGAACGGGCACCGTCGATTTCTGCCGAGAGTAGTCCCGAAGTTGGAGGATGACTGGACCAGATTCAACTCTGCGATTGCTGGTGCTGCGAAAAAAATGGATGGGAATTTCACAGAAGGATCATAGGCAAATGTTCAGAATTCCCGTCCTCGTTTGCCGCGCCCCGTCTCCGCCATGAGGAGAAGTCCCGAGCCAAAGGGTTCAGATGTCTCAGCATGGCGTAGCCGATGCTCGTATGTGTCTGAAAAATGCATACATCCGCACACCAGCTACAGAATAAGCATAATAT